TATATATAAATTTTTTTATTTTATTTATGCATTTAGCAGACGCTTTAATCCAAAGCAACTTACAGTGCATTCAGGCTATACATTTTTTTACCAGTATGTGTGTTCCCTGGGAATCCCACAACCTTTTGCGCTGCTAACGCAATGCTCTACCACTGAGCCACAGGAACATTATATATATGTGTATATATATATAAAAATGTCATAAAATAATGTACTGTATTAAAATATTCCAATGTACTCCTCAGGTGACTTTTCATGGGGCCTTGGAACAGAGACTCCGGGTGTAACCCCGGCTCCCACAATTCCCACCGCCCCTCCGCCCGCCCCCAGACTGGAAGATGACGAGGATATAGAAGACATGGAGGAGGACATTCAGGCCACCGTAGCTCACCTGACCGAGCTGTTCGCTGCCTTACGCGGGGTCCTCACACCCATTTTCTTCAGGGGCATCTTTGCCTTTCTCACGTGGTGGGTTGCGGCCTGTCAGCTCATTAGCAGCCTGTTCGGCATCTACTTCCACCAGTATCTGATGCATAACTGAAAAGTGCCCTGAAATTAAGGTCTTTGTGCTGATTCCAGTTCTTCAAGGAAATGCAACATCAACACAGTCATGCAAACACATCTGATGCACCAACAAGATGAAGGCTGGCTCTTCTAAACACACACTCATCTAAACCCACTGTATTTTGCCGGTACCTGCTGGAAACTTTTGTTCGGTACAATCAAAGTGAAGATGCTAGTTAACTGCATGCATAAGCTGTTTTGGTTTTCATCAGATCATCAATAAGCTCATCAAAACAACGTATATTTTTTTACCTCAGAAGTTTTCAGTCACGTCACATGCGTACCCATTTGCGGTGATCATTTCATTGAAATGCAATTCTTAGGGCCTGGTAACTCAGGGATGTGGTCCAAAATAGCGTTTCTTCCACCAGCACAATATCGTCAAGTGCAAAACCTGCAAAAACAGTTTAGCGCTGTAGTTCATGGACTTGGTTGTTCAAAAATGAAATTTAATTTCATTTTGTACTTTTGCCTTGGATGATTTTTTTTAACAGAATGTTATGGTGTATTTTAAATACTGTGTTTGCTATATGGCTGATGACACGTAATATACAGCAGCCCTAATTATTTTACCCAAATGTTTCATGAATAATCATATGTGAGGCATATGTTAATTTGTTTCCCTGTTATTGGACTACTGTCTTCAATCATAGGATCAGAGGAAGTCATCAGGGATTTGTATCATTTAAGACAGTAGGCTTAAGACAAGAGAATAATTTAACACTGAAACAATTAATTTATTCATTTTCTAATGTCAATCAGCTTTCATTTGAATCAAAACAATAAAACTGATCATTTAAAAAAAATTAGACTCTTTTTGTGTTTCCATGATACCATTTTCCATTATTTTATTTTGATTAGTAAGACGTAAACAATAGTAACTCAAAATAACTATATATTTTACTGATCAATATCTGTACTAATTAATTAAAAATAATTGCAAACCAAATATGTGTATTCTTTTGTTAAAGGGCAAAATTATTACACAATGCCGATAAACTCAAAATGGCCAAATACTGCCAGTTTAATCGGAATGGCTGATATATATTTGTCTATCACTTCTAGTACTTTTGTAGTGTTAATAGCTAATATATTTCTTAAAACTAGTGAATTGTTGGGGAAATGGAAAAATCAGTGCATGATCTCATTTAACACGCAAAATATAAACGCTAAACAATTTTTTGCAGCCCATTTTTTTAGACAATTGAATTGTTGTATTTATTAATTAAATACAGTCTGTCGTAATGACGAATACATTTTTTTAATGTACAACTCTCCTGCTAACATCAAAACCCATATTCCTCCATTGCTTTGCTCAAGCCTTTAGTGTTGTGTCTGAAAGATGACATGATTAATGGCTGATAAAATGTGACTTCCATAGTCAGAACAGACAATGTCCCATTCAAAGGGTCAGATGGTCATATGTCTGACTAGTTTATTAGCTGGTGTGTAGGAATATGACTGGTTTAAGTCGTTTATGACAATATATTTTGTGTTGTTTTTTTCAGCTCTATGGACATATATTTTTCTTCAAAAATGTTATTATTGTACATCTAAAAAAAAAATCAACCAAAAATTTGTTGTGTATTTGTACATGGACCATATAAGCCATTTTAGGTTTTCATTTCCTTACATATGAATGTATATTGTTATTAGGGGGATATTTGAGGCATTGTAGGTAGATATTCATTAATCGCTTGGTGCATTTGTGTCTATATCCTCCGTCTCGCCACCAGACCAGTGCTGTCCCAATAACGTCTCCTCTTGATCTCAGACGGATATTTTTTTCCCACATTGGGCTGGCTGATGACACGTCTGGAGGCTGTGTCTGGCTTAATGAAGTGGAGGGTGACGGGGTTGACATATCTATATAATCACATTAATTATGTGCATCTG